AGGCACTAACATCTGATTAAGGGTTGGATGATTGACTGGGTTTATGCTCAGCTCAATCAATGAAACAATAGCAAGAAGAATATGATAAAAAGCCTTTCCCTAAATAACTGTTGAACCTAATCTTGTTAAGTAAAAATTAACTGTCTAAATAAGCATATAATCAAGGCATTATAATAATGCTACTATAAGTTGGCCCGTGCTCGTAGGGAAAATGATCGAAATATATTGATGTGCTAGCACAAAGGTAAATATAGAGATATCAATTGCTAGTCGAATTAAGCTTATTCATTTAATAACTTTGGCTAAACTACCTATTAGGAAAAAGCATGACAGCTGTAGAATCACAATGAAGTTAATATAATCTGACTTAAGCTATTAGATTAGAAATCTGCTCATTATGAGGGACACTTAATGAATGAGTATCGTCAAATTTGTGCAAAAATCGAATACCAGATATTTATTATTCTGAGGTAAACTTTATTAGAACAGAGAGAATATCTTATCTCTGGAGGACCTGACGCCAATCGACAACACACATATTCCATAGAATCCAGTGTCTCGAATACCTTCTTTCCCTCCATCTCGCGACCAATGTGTGACAGGACTTTGGTATGCACTGCATCGATCGTGATATAGTCAACGTTACCGGTTCTCTTATTAACGTTCCTTCTACAGTCGTCATCGGTTGTGACGGCCTCAGATGGTTGCCCATATAGCTGACTATGAGGCTTTAGTTTAGTTACAGGCAAAACCTTCCGAGGTGAGCTGATAGACTTCGTAACCGCTGTGATAGAAGGAAATCTAGAAGCAGCATAGAGTGCCACCGATACATCGGCAGCTATACTAGTCATCTTCGATGATGCTACTGATTTATAATCCAATGGGCACAGAGTAATTGACGTTGGTGAATCTGGACCCGGAAGGGTTGGCAGTGAAGAGGACCATGTTTGTATAGAAAGACTTTTGTTCTGAAGATGCCCTGTTCGAAACTTGTGGGCTGCTCGAGGGGGCGTAGATATTGATAGTGTATTGTGCCAATTGACTCCATGTTGGCAAATCTCAGGACTGGATGGCATAGGCTCCTTATCGAAGCTAAGTTCTGCATAATTGAGCTGTTGCTGTTCCTTAATCGTTTTCGGCGAGCTTGAAACAAAGGGTCTGGTAAGGTTTTTATCGGCAAATACTGCAGAAGCAGTGGAATGGTGAATCAAAGGCTTCGCTGTGGAGGCTAGAACGATGGAGGTAGTCGTTTGAAGAACAGAAGATTGCTCGGGCGTGGCAAGCCAAATATTGGGGCATGGACCCGGGTCCGATGGGTGTTTGGGGGCAGCCCCGGGGCTGTTTAGGGGCACATGAATGGACTGTGAGGGTCGTAAAGCACGCAGGGAAATAGGAGAAGGAGAGAATAGTAATGGCATGGCAGCTGAATCAAAGACCGATGATGAAGCGTTTTTTGTAGTAAGCGCTGTATAGGTGGTCTCCTCAGGTGGCGATGGCACCGGAGGAGGTGTGGGTAAGGCAATTGTAGATGCTTGCACATTAAAGGGCCCTGTGGCTAAATGGGTTAGTGGTAATTCAAAACAGAAGATACCAGAAGACGAGGAGGATGAAGGTAGTTGATGTTCAGTTTTACTGCGGGCCATAGAAAACGGTAATTGTGAACAGCAATATTTGGCACCAATAGAGTAGGAAGAAGAGTTATCATGACGGTTCTGGTGCTGATGTTGATATGAATGATGGCTGTAGTGTTGCTGATGAGTGCTTGGATTGTGGGAACAAATGAAGGGATAAATACAAGCTTGAAATTGTGGGTGATGAATATTATCAGTTTGGAGCATATCTGAAAGCTGATGAGCTGGAGGACAATACTGACTGGGTAGCTGGCAGTTGCAGCGGCCTTGATAAACTTGAGGAGGTGTATGTAGTGTCATAGGTAGACATGAGGTCGCCTTAGCAGTTGACCAAGGGTAGCGCGCCCGTGGAGACATCGTATGAGTATACTGAGGCTGATCCGCAGCAGACCAGGCATAATGGCACCTCGAACGGGAACGGTGAAGTTGGTATTGGGGATCGAAGAGGATCAGACTGAAGCGAACAAATAGAACACAAGTAAATAAGTCACGTGAATAAGTTGGGTTTGAATAATTCCAGTATAAGCTAATGGCAAAACAAAGAAAGATGAAAATATAACAAGAAAATCAAGAGCAGTAATAAGGTAAGTAGTAATAAAATAGGTGAATAAGAGAAAAAGATGTGTTCTAAGGAGAATGCTGAAAAGATTAAAAATGATTCGGTTTCCTATCCTTTCATTTTACTGATTTACTAGTAGTCTCGAAACTCTACTCAAATACGAATATAAGTAACGTAGTCGATTGTTATAGCAAATATACGTTTGCTTCATCGACAATCCCACCATAGAATATATGGCAAAAAGGCCTGATCTTCCTTGAAACTCACATCCGCCCTGTGACCCAAGGGCACTCGTGGGAATGTGCTGGAGTAAATAACGTGTCAAGCTCCCATTCTACTCTATTACGGTTCGACTCCCGCTTGGGGTGCTGATAAGAACAATGCGAGGTCTAAACTGCAGTCCACCCTGGATGAGAAAAACATTTGGGAAAGCAAGGCAATGTGAAATCCAATGGACACATCAGCTCTACTGATATAATTGTGGGAAAATTCTACTACCAGGCCTTCTTCACCTTAAACGAAATAGTGTGAATACCTCTCTCAGATTTACTGGTAGTCTCGAAACTCTACTCAAATACTAATATCATTATATAGCTTTATGAATTCACTAGGAGAGAAATTCAGCTAGTTGGGTATGACCATTAAAATCTACATGGCTTTATGCCCCTCATCTAGCCAATAGCAACATGATCTTATGAAGTGTGAAATAGAGATAAAAGCAGCCATTTAAAGAGGAAAATATAGTAATCCTACTTTTGTTAAAACAATGAATCAGTGTCAGATCTAAAGGATAAAGGG